CTCTTTCTCATAGCATCCTTCAGTTTAGACAACTCCTAAAACGAAAGGATTTGAATCTGCACTCAGGCAGCCCCACCAGCCCAGCCCCAGGTTCTGGTTGCTGCCCCAGTTGTCCCAGCCCCAACGTGGGCATTGTCTCTGCCTTGCTCTGTAGAACCTTAGGCCCAGCCAGGCAGCCTTGCCAGCCACGAGTGCTGCTGGGCTTCCCTGGGGAAACCTGCCTCGATCACAGCTGTCCATTCTGTCACTCACTTGCTCAAAAACCTCTGAGTCTCTCTACTGACCATGACATCTTTTTTTTTTAAGATTTATTTATTCATTTGAGAGAGAGAGAGCACGAGCAAGAGGGGCAGAAAGAGACGGAGAGAGAATCCGAAGCAGACCCCGTACTGAGTGCTGAGCCCGATGCAGGGCTCGATCTCAAGCCCCTGAGCCAAAACCGAGAGAAGGACACTTAACTGACTGCACCACCCAGGTGCCCCAACCACCACATCACTTAAACTCTTCAGTGTGGCTCTCAAGGACCCAACACTCCACTTCATTCTTTATGCATACACTCAGCAAATATTTATTCAGTAGTGACACTGCACTAGGCCCTAGGGATACACTAGTGAACAAGACAGACATAGCCCTTGCCCTGGTGGAGCATGTAATCAAATGGGGAAGATGGGACATAAATGTAAAGTACAGGTTGTAGGAAGGGTTATGAACAACAACGAACAGGTATAATGACAGAATTGTCACCTGGGCAGGTGGTCAGAGAAGGACTCACTAAGGAGAAGGGTTGAAGGATGAGGAGTCGTCCACACAGGGAGGGGAGGGTGTGTTCCAGGCATGGCCCAGGGATGGGAAGGAGTTTGGGGTGTGAAAGGAGAAAAGAGCAGTGTGGGTGGACCATGGATGGTGAGGGGGAGAAGGGCATGAGATGGAATTAGGAAGGTCAGGAAGGGTCAAATCATGCAGGGCCTTGTAAGGCCAGTGTAAGGAGTCTGGATTTTGTTCTAAGTAAAACAGGAAGCCATTGGAAGAGGGTGGGAGATGCCTGGCTGGCTCAGTCAAAAGAGTATGCAACTCTTAATCTCGGCGTTATGAGTTCAAGCCCCACTGGGCACCGAACCTACTCAAATAATAATAATAATAATAATAATAATAATAATTTTTTAGGGGCGCCTGGGTGGTGCAGTCAGTTGAGCGTCCAACTCTTGATTTTGGCTCAGGTCAGGGTCTCAAGGTTGTCGGATCCAGCCCCATGGCAGGCTCCAACTTGGCAGGAGTTTGCTTGGGATTCTCTCTCTCCCTCTGCCCCTCCTCTCCCCCACTCCACAGAAGCATGCACACACACTCTCTCTCTTTCTCTCTCTCTAAAATAAATAAATAAATAAATCTTTAAAAAGAGAGAGAGATACAAAGTTCAAAGAAAAGATTATAAGGCAAAAGAAGGTGGAGAAAGGAGAATTAGAAGAATTCCAAAATGAAACAAAAGGGAAGGATTAAAATGTCACATAGGGGGCGCCTGGGTAGCTCAGTCAGTTAAGGTCTGCCTTCAGCTCAGGTCATGATCCCAGGGTCCTGGAATCAAGCCCCACATCGGGCTCCTTGCTCAGCGGAGAGTCTGCTTCTCCCTCTCCCTCTGCCTGCCGCTCCCCCTGCTTGTGTTCTCTCTCTCTCTCACTCTCTGTCAAATAAATAAAATCTTAAAAAAAAGAAAAGAAGTGTTACTATCAGGATAATAGGGTTCCCCAAAGAGAGGGGCATAAAGGGAGAGAGGAGAAAACAGCTGAAGAAACAATGGTGACAAATTTCTCAGAATTTCAGATGAAAGGGCTCAGAGTGTGAAATGGGGTAACTGGGCACCTGGGTGGCTCAGTCGGTGAAGCATCTGCCTTTGGCTCAGGTCATGATCTCAGGGTCCTGGGATCGAGCCCCACGTCAGGCTCCCTGCTCAGTGGGGAGTCTGCTTCTCCCTCTGACCCTCTTCCCAGCTCGTGCTCTCTCTCTCTCTCAAATAAATAAGTAAAAATCTAAAAAAAAAAAAAAGAATAGCTTTTTAAAAAATGGGGTAACTGAGGGGAAACACATCCAGATTCATTATATGGAAGTCTAAGAACATCAAAGTCAGATAAAATTCTGAACACCTCCAAAAGCAACGCACAGGGACTAGAATCAAATTGACATCAGACTTCTCAGTAGAAACACTAGACACAAGAAGACAAAGTAGCAAATGTTTTTAAAACTGAAAGAAATCTTGCCTATAGCCAAAGAGTCACTCAAATGTGAAGGTGTTAAAAAATATCCTCAGATATAGTAAGCCGAAGCTGTTTTACCACACAAAGACCTACATTAAAAACACTCGGTGGGGGGGCGCCTGGGAGTGCAGTCAGTTAAGCATACATATCTTGATTTCGGCTCAGATCATGATCTCAGGGTCATGAGATTGAGCCCCACGTCAGGCTCCATGCTCAGCACAGAGTCTGCTTGAGATTCTCTCTCTCCCTCTCCCTCTGCCCCTCTCCGCCCCCGCCCCCCCATGCTCACTTGCACAAGCACGCTCGCTCTCTCTCAAATAAATAAACAAATCTTTAAAAAAAAAAACAAAACACTCTGAGAGAAGGTACTCAAATAAGAAGAGAAACAAACCCAAGAGAAATAAATCAGGATGATTCCTGAGATATGAGGCGCAAAATTGGCTAAATATAATAAAACTGATTATCTATGGGCTCCTGGATGGCTCAGTCAGTTAAAATGTCTGCCTTCGGCTCAGCTCATGATCCCAGGGTCCTGGGATTGAGTCTCAAATAGGGCTTCCTGCTTGACAGGGAGTCTGCTTCTCCCTCTCCCTCTGCATGCAGCTCCCCCTGCTTGTGCTCTCTCTGTCAAATAAATAAATAAATAAAATTAAAAATATATATATCAGGGAAGTAATTTTGATATTTGATAAAGGAGAATTCAAGATGAAAAAGATGAGACAAATAGGAACATAATATAAGAAAATATAAATATCATAAACACAAAAGGACCAATAATATAGCCTCAAAATATATAAAGCAACAACTATCAAATCTTTTGGAAGAAATAAATAAATAATGGTTAGAGATTTTCACACACTCTTCTCAGAAACTGAACAATCAAGGAGATAAAAATAGAGATATAAAATAGCTGAATAATCTTATTTATCAATAAGATTGGCTGGCAAGTTACTGGCAAATATAGACTTCTACACCCAAGAAAGAGAAAATACACATTCTTTTCTAACACATGTGGCTCATGTAATATTGAATATGCTCTAGGACACAAAAGAAGTCTCAATAAATTCCAAAGAATCATTATTATATGGACTATAATTATAATTATGCTTTCTTACTCTTATGTAATAAAAATTTCTAATTAATAGATGTTTTAAAAGAAGGAGAAAAAAACTGAAACAGTCCTAATGTCTATCAATAGGTGTATGGATAAATAAATTAGAGCATATTCAAGCACTGAAATATGATACAATAGTGAAAATTAATGAACTCCATCAATATGGATAAATATCTTATTTTAAGCACGAAAAGAATTTGCAGAAGAACCTATACATTGTGATAGCACTTATGTAAAGTGCAAAAACATACAATACTAAATAATATATTGCTTAGGAATATGTACATATGTGACCAAAATTATCTTTTTCAATTGAGGGAATCATAAACACACAATTCAAGATGGCGGCTATGGCTATCAAGGGGGCCAGTGCGATATAGGGTTGCACAGGAAGGCCTTTAACTAGATCTGTAAGTTGTTTGTTTTATTTTAAGTGATCTACCGCAAATATTTTTTAAATGGTCAAATTCAACAAAGCCTATAGCTGGATATTGTGCTATTTTCTATACTTTTCTGTAATATTCTGAAATAGTTCATCATTTATTTCATCATTAAAATAGTAGGAAAAGAAAAAGAAAGAAAGGAAAAAAAAGGAAGAGAGAGCATCCATGCAGAAAAAGCAAGCCACATATAAGGTAGGAAAACCCAGTTAGCCTGAGACTTTCCCACGGCCCCCACAAGGGCACAAGCAGTTGAGCTAGTCTACAGGGCTCAGAGAGAGTGCATGGCCAAGGAGTCTCTGCTGCTAAGCAGCAACCACCTCAAGCTGAAAGAACTCAGGAAATACAAAAGCCCAGAGCCCTTTGAAATCCCACCAACCAAATGAATCAAATAAAGGCTGCAGGAAAGAAGCAGCCATGCCGAAAGGTCTGTTTGTGAGCACAGGATTCACAGAACTAAGACTAACATTGCGTTGGGGATCGCAGTTACAAAACAGAATGTAAATACCATAAACATCCACATTTTAAAATTAACTAGTGTAACTATCAGAGATTGGTAGATTGGGGCAGCGGAAATGGAAGTGTAAAAGTACTATTTTCCTCATCCTTCCAGCAGAGTCCAAAGATGTCTAAAATGAAAATGTGGCAAGTTGTTTTTTAATCTCTAGAATCTTTTACAAATTAATATTTCTCATGATGAAAAATATTTATCTGAAGTTCAGTAATTCCTTCTCCGTTTGACATTTTTCCCTTTTGTCATCAGCAAGTAAAACGTAAATAATACTTTTTATTATAAATAACATGTATTATGGTCCATTTTTGTGGCTCTTTTCCTGTAAGTCCCTCTCTCAGTCTTTCTAGCTGCATATACTGCAAGAGATCTAAATGGCGCTCATCCAATGCTAGTGCTTATTTCTGGGTGGTGGGATAGTGATTACTCTGTTGCATCAGTATTTGCTGCATTGCTTAATTTTTTGTTGTTGCTGTTGGGGCTAATGGATATGGGTCATGGACACTCTAAAAAAGAAGCAAAAAACAAACAACTAGCAGTTGTCTCTAAGAAGAGGTTGAAGCAGGACAAGTGGGAAGCAGGAGACTGGCCCCTGTGGGGTGGGGGTGGCAGGGGTCTGAAATGATGGGAGGAGCTTTAGAGAGGGAAAGAAACAGAGAGACTTGAGACTGATTTTTGAGGTAGAACTTGCTGATGAACTGAATATGGGGAGTGAGGGGAAGGAAGACGTCCAGAACTGACCTGAGGGCCTGAGTAGATGGTGGTACCATTACTATGTGGGGGGTAGCGTGGATTTGGAGGGAAAACCAGGAGGTTTTTTGGGGGGGGGGGTTGGTCGTTTTTCAGAAACTGCAAGTCATACTGTACCCTTTTTGTGTGCTGGGCCCTGAGGACATCCCCAGAAAACAGAACAGACAGGGCGACCTTCCCTCCTGGAGCTTGGCTGGTGGTGAGGAAAAGCCAGACACCATGAGAGAAGAACAAGGTATTTCAAAAGTTACAAGTGCAATGCAACGGGGGAAAGCCGAAAGGAGGAAGGGCTCAATTTAAAGGAAAGTGGCCACCGAAGGCTCCACGGGAACAGCCACGTTAAAGCAAAGGCCTCAAGTGGAAGAGATGGGGTTGCAGGGGAGAATGTGGGGAGGTGGGGGGCAGGTTCCAGGGCTAACGTGGGCCTCAGAGCCACTGAAGGACTTTGGCTTTCACTCTGAGGCAAATGGGGAGCCACTGGGAGATTTTGAGCATAAGACGGACATGATCTGATTCACATTTTTTTAAAAGAATCGCTCTGGCTGCTGCATGAGTATATAAGATGAAGACATAATGCTGTCATCCCCTGATCTGTGCAGGGTGTGTTTCCAGACCCCCAGGGGATGGCTGAAACTGCCCGTAGTAGCCAACCCTATACGTACTGTTTTTTCCTAGACATGCATAATTTATGATAAAGTCTAACTTACAAACTAGGCTCGGTAAGAAATGAACATGATGCCATGAAGGAGGTGGATGACGCAGACACGCAACCCACCATGAGGCTCCTACTGACCTTCTGAACACACACATTTTGAACCTGAATTGACCACAGGTAAGGGGGACGGCTGTATATGTCCTTCTAAAGGGGCAGGGGGAGACGCTGGGAAATAATTAGAGAACTATTACGGGAGGCACCTGGGTGGCTCAGTGGGTTAAGTGTCTGCCTTCCGCTCTGGTCGTGATCCCGGGGTCCTGGGATTGAGCCCCGCATCGGGCTCCCTGCTCAGCGGGGAGCCTGCTTCTCCCTCTGCCTGCAGCTCCCCCTGCTTGTGCTCTCTCTCTCTCTCTGTCAAATAAACAAATAAAATCTTTAAAAAGAAAAGAAAGACCAAGTGAGAGAGGACAGGATTCCAATGGATGTGGCTGCAGTGGAGGGGGAGAGATGACAATGATTCTGGACGCATTTTGAAGATAGAACTAGCAAGATTTGAAGACAGACTAGATGTGCAATGTGAGATATGAAAGGGGGCAAGAACACTGCATGCTTCTGTCCTGAGAAGCCAGGAGAATGGGCGGGCAGGGGAGAGGCAGAGGGAGTGCGGGGAGAGGCCATCAGGAGGGTGTGCTTGGACATGGGAAGCTGAGCTGCCGGTTGGACAGGCCTCTTCTCGTCTCTTCTCGTTCCAGCTCTACCCCTTGGCTAGCTCATGGGTACCCAGCCCCTTACAGAACTCACTGTTCCTCCTCTCTGTTCAAGGCTTTCTTTATACACCACATGATTTCCTGTTTGTTTGCTGATGGTGTCTCCAGCCAGGCAGACTGCAAGCTCCATGAAGGCAGAGGCAGAAGAGCGCCTGGCAGGCAGTGAGCCCTCGGCAAGTCCGTGCTGACCTCATGAATGAGTCTGCGCCACCGCCACCCCCGTTCAGGAGACAGTTGTACTTAGGGGCAGCGGCCCCATTATCAGACCACCTGGGTGCCACAGCTTGTCAGTTCTAGATCTCCAGCAAGTTACGTAGCTTCTCTGTGCCTTGGTTTTCTCATCTGCAAAACGGAGATAACAGAAGGACTTACTTCATGGGGTTGTAGGGATTAGGGAGTTAATACATGCAAAATGCTCAGAATAGGGATGCCTGGATGGCACAGTAGGTTGAGCGTCCAACTCCTGGTTTCCACTCAGGTCATGATCTCAGGGTCATGAGATCCAGCCCTGCATGGGGCCCTGCACTCAGCACGGAGTCTGCTTGGGATTGCCTCTCCCTCTGCCCCTCCCCCCACATGCGCGCGCTCTCTCTCTCTCTCTCTCTCTCTAATAAATAAATAAATCTTTAAAAAATAAATACTCAGACCAGCGCCTGGTATGGAATAAGTACTTGGTAAAATTTAGCTGTGGGCGCCTGGGTGGCTCAGTCGTTGGGCGGCTGCCTTCTGCTCGGGTCATGATCTGGGGGTCTTGGGATCGAGCCCCACATCAGGCTCCCTGCTCGGCGGGGAGCCTGCTTCTCCCTCTCCCACTCCCCCTGCTTGTATTCCCTCTCTCGCTGTGTCTCTCTCTGTCAAATAAATAAATAAAATAAAATTTAGCTGTTATTTGCTATTACTTGTTAAAAATTACCTCCTCACTGGTCTCCTTGCATCCACTCTGCCCTTCTTCTCTCAATCTTTTCCATAATGCAGACTGTGATTATTCAAAATGCAACTCTGATCACATTACATGCACAAGTGCACACACACACATACTTAGATTGCTGAAAAAAACCATTCAGGAGCTCCTGGGTGGCTCAGTAGGTTAAGTGTCTGCCTCTTGATTTCAGCTGGGGTCATGATCTCAGGGTCAAAAGATCAAGCCCAAGTCGATCTCTGTGCACCGCATGGAGTCTGCTTGGGATTCTCTCTCTCCCTCTCCTTCTGCCCCTCCCCACCTCTAAAATAAAAAACAAAACAAAACAAAAGCCCAACATTCAGGGGCTACCAATCCTTAACATGTTCCTTAAGTCCTACCCACCTCCCCAGCCTTGCCTTTTATCTCTGTCCATTTTGCTCTTGAGCTTCAGCCACACCCAGTTTCCCTCAGAAACAGGCTCACCATGCTCCCTCCTGCCTCAGGGCCTTTGCAAATGATGGTCCCTCTGTCTGGGAAGCCCTTCTTCCCTCAGGTCTGCCCTTTGCATGTCCTGCTCATCTTGCACATCTCAGCTCCAGCATGACTTCCACAAAGGTGCTCCCCAATCCCAGACTAAGTTACATTTCTTTGTTAAAAATTACCACAAATGTGGGGTGCCTGGGTGGCTCAGACAGTTAAGCACCTGCCTTCAGCTCAGGTCCTAATCTTGAGGTCCTGGGATGGAGCCCTGCGTCTGGCTTCCTGCTCAGCGAGGAGCTTGCTTCTCCCTCTCCCTCTGCCTGCCACTCTCCCTGCTTGTGTTCTCTCTGTCAAATAAATAAGTAAAATCTTTAAAGGAAAAAAATTACCGCAAATGTGATCCTTCAGAAGTTACCCCCATTCGTAATTATCCATTTGTTTGTGTGATCATGTGGTTATTTGCTGTCCTCCCCTCTAAACTGAAAGGCCTGTAAAATCAGGAAGCATATCTGTTCCTACTGTTTTTGTTGCAGCAAATCTGCCTTGTCTGGCACATACAAGTACTATATTCTGAATGAGTGAATGAATGAATGAATGAATGGGTCTTCAGCAGAAGCAACCAGGGCCAACATACAGGGTCCATAAGGGGGCACTCTTGGCCCTTCGTAGTTCCTGGTGCCAAGCCACTGACTTTGGGCAGTCCACACAGAGGTAGTGAAAGACCTCTGGGCCGCAGGTGCACTGGTAACCGGCAGTGTGTCCTTGGCTAAGTCCTGTCACCTACATGAGCCTCCATGTCTTCATCTGTAAAATGTGGATCATGATTCCTATATCACAGGGTTGTCAGGAGGACCAAAGGAGCTTGGATTAGATAGTGGTTTGTTTGTTTTTTTTTAAAGATTTTTATTTATTTATTCATGAGAGACAGAGAGAGAGAGAGGCAGAGGGAGAAGCAGGCTCCCAAGGAGCAGGGAGCCCGATGCGGGACTCGATCCCAGGACCCTGGGATCATGACCTGAGCTGAAGGCAGACGCTTAACCATCTGAGCCACCCAGGCACCCAGATAGTGGTTTTTTAAACTTTTAACATTAAACAGGTGAAAAGTTGTTTAGTTTTTCAAGAGGAACTTTGCCAGGAACCTAAATGGAAAGAAAAACCAAATATACAAGAAGTATAAAGGCTGACACAGGTAGTTTTAGGCCCCTTACCCCAACTCGACACTTAAGCCAGGTTCTTACCCTGGACAATGACAAGTCTGGCTACAGATGGTTTTCACGGGCATGATTTGTTGGGACCACCTCAGTATCAAGTGGTTTAGACACAAGGCCAGGCCACTGTGAGGCCCTAACAGAGAGACCCATCTCAGCGCAACTCCGGGGCCCCCAAAGAAACCTGCTTCTGCCTGCCCTCCCACCCCCAGGGCTGCTCAGGTCCTGCTCTGGCTGTGTAGTGCAGTCCCTGGACCTCTGGGTGAGGGAGGAAGCACCCCAGCAGCTCAGTCCACACCCCCACCCCGCCCCGACCGGCCTCAGCCTGACACTGCCTGGAGAGGCCTCGGCTGAGCTGTTGGCCCCTGCAGTGGCTGTTTTCGCCCTCTGGGGCTTCTCTGGCCGTCCAAGCCCCGACTGGCCTCCACTAAAGCTCAGCATCCACTTCAGAGCTCTGGACTTAGTTTTGGACCCCTAGAAACAGACCTCCAACAGGGGTCACACACATAACTTTTCCCACCAGCTACCCTAAAGTCTTGGGGGGCGAGGTCTCCAAACACAAATCAGGGGCAGTGAAGGGGGCATAGCCCCTTCTTTCAAAGAAACAAGAGCCAATCCCAAGGAACAGGGATGGGATTGGCCCCCAGACCCTGGGCTTTCTCTGGTTTCTGACATGGAGATAACATTTCCCTCCGTCCCCAGTCTCCCCCTCCCTTTGGAAGAAGGATGGAAATGCTGAGTGTGTGGGATGGAACAGGCACATCACAGAAAGTGGGAAATGACTGAGGAGCCGGTTGTTGGAAGAGAGGAGGCAGGCAGGGCTGTTCTATAATTGCCTAGGGCAGGGGCGCCTGGGTGGCTCAGCCGTTGGGCCTCTGCCTTCGGCTCAGGTCATGACCCCAGGGTCCTGGGATCGAGCCCCGCATCGAGCCCCGCATCGAGCCCCGCATCGAGCCCCGCATCGGGATCCCTGCTTGGCAGGGAGTCTGCCGCTCCCGCTCCCTCTGCTACTCTCTCTCTCTGTCAAGTAAATAAATAAAATATTTTTTAAAAATTGCCTAGGGTTATTCATGGCAAAACCTGGGGCTTCAACTCACACCACACCTGATCATCATCAGACCTACCGACGAAGTCTGCCCCTCTCCTGCCTCCATTACAGCTCAGCCCACCTCTCCTCCAGAGCTGCCTCAAGTAGCATGCACTCCACACCCCACCTCAGGTGACACCGCAGCTCACAGAAGTAGCGGTCTGTCTTTGTAGGCTTCAATTCTGTGCTCCCTGAGGGAGTTTTGAAAAAAACTATGTACTACAGCATGTATTTTAAGTTGACAATTAAAATTGTTTTGTCATCAGTTTAGATCATTACAGAAGGTATTTCTGATGTTGTGACTTTTTTTTTTTTAAGTAGGCTCCATGCTCAGTGCGGAGCCCAACGGCAGGTCTTGAACTCACGACCCTGAGATCAAGACCTGAGCTGAGATCAACTGACTGAGCCACCCAGGTGCCCCTAAATGTTGTAACATTTTTTTTTAATTCTCTTTTAAAATTTTGATTTATTTACTTGTCAGAGAGAGAGAGAGCCCGAGCACAAGCAGGGGGAGCGGCAGGCAGGGGAGAAGCAGGATCCCCACTGAGCAAGGAGCCCAATATGGGACTCGATCCCAGAACCCTGGGATCATGACTTGAGCCGAAGGCAGATGCTTAACGGACTGAGCCACCCAGGTGTACCAATGTTGTAACATTTTTAATAAAACCATTAAGACTGTTTTATTTATTTTTTTAAGATTTATTTATGTGAGAGAGAGAAGGGGAGAGAGAGAGAGATCAGCAAGCTGGGGGGAGGGACAGAGGGAGAGTGAAATGCGGAATGTGGAGCCCGACATAGGGGCCGATCCCATGACCCCAAGATATTGACCTGAGCCAGATGCTCAACCGACTGAGCCACCCAGGCGCCCCCATTAAGACTGTTTTAAATGTGTGTTCAGTGAAATCTAAACATCACAGTGGTCTGATACCATCCATTGTCTCTCTCTATACACATAATGGAACAACTGGACAGAAGATCAGTAAGGACACAGACCCTTGGACAGCACTATACACCAATGCACCCATCAGACACACACAGACTACTCCACACAACAGTAGCAGAATACACATTCTTCTCAATCTCACATAGAACATTCTTCAGGACAGATCACATGTTAGGCCACAAAACAAGTCTTCACAAAATTAAGAAGATTGGAATCATACCAAATGTCTTTTCTAATCACAGTGGAATGAAACTAGAAATCAATAGCAATAGGAAATCTAGAAAATTCAAAAATACATAGAAATTGAACCACCAATGGACCAAAGAAGAAATCACAAGGGAAATTAGAAAATATCTCAAGACAAAAAAAATGAAAACACAGGGATGTCTGGCTGGCTCAGTCAGTAGAACATGTGACTCTTGATCTCGGAGTGGTAAGTTCAAACCTCACGCTGGGTGTAGGGATTACCTAAAAATTTTTTTAAAATAAAAATAAAAAATAAAGGGGTGCCTGGGTGACTCAGTTGGTTGGGCATCTGCCTTCAGCTCAGGTCATGATCTCAGGATCCTGGGATTGAGTCCCACATCAGGCTCCCTGCTCATGGGGAACCTACATCTCCCTTTCCTCCCCACTCATGCTCTCTCACTCTCTCAAATAAATAAATAAATAAAATCTTTTAAAAAAATAAAAATATAAAAAATAAAGGGGCACCTGAGTGGCTCAGTCGGTTAAATGGCTGACTCTTGATCTTGGCTCAGGTCTTGATCGCAGGGTCATGAGTTCAAGTCCCACACTGAGCTCCACACTGGGCATGGAGCCTACTTTAATAATAA